TGCGCTGCAGCAGCAGCAGCAGCAAGCAGCTCCGGGCTGAAGCCCTGGCGGCCACTGACAAAGACTTGGTGGGCCCCCAAAAGGGTACAGAAGGACCCCCAGCCCGCAATGCCCTTGTCGGGGCCCCACCTTGCTGCTGCTGCTGCTGCTGCTGGCAGCAGCAAAAAGACTGCACCCCCCAGCCTCAGGGGGGCCCCCAGCCACTGCAGCGGATAGGCAAAGGCCCGCAGCTTCGGGGGAAGGTAGAGGGGCCCCACAGTCCCCTGGGGCCCCACAAGGGTACAGCTAAACTGCTGCTGCAGCTGCTGCAGGGCCCCCAAGTCCATTGCGTCGTAAGCAGCAGAAGTCAGCAGCACAATGTCAATGGGGGGCAAAGAGGAGACAGAAACTGCAGCAGGACAAATGCGACGCACTGCAGCAAAACAGCAGCAAACACATCACTTGCTCACGAATTGCTGCAGCAAAGTGCCTCCTCTCTGCGCTGCTGCTGCGGCTGCTGCTGCGGCTGCTGCTGCGGATGCTGCTGCTTCTGAGTTCGCTGCAGCACAATTCGCCAACGCTCACCCTGCTACTGCTGCCACCGCAGCTGCTGCTGCGCTACTGCTGCTTCTGCTGCGCTGCTGCTGCTGCTGCTATGCTACAGCTGCTGCTGCTTTGCTGCTGCCGCTGCTGCTGCTGCTTACCCCCGATTCGTCCCCAAGGCCCGGCGCGCCGTGAGAAGAAAGGGTCCGTGAGGATATTGAGGGGGCCCCCAATGCCCCCGGGGGCCCCCCGAGTTTGCAGCAAGAAGGTCCCGTGGCCCAGGGCCTGTACCCTCAGGAGGCCCTCGGGGATATCTGCTGCCTCAGGAGGTGGGGGCCCCTCGGGGAGACAGAGCCGGCTGGGCCAGATGGCAGGGGGCCTGTAGGGGGGCCCCCCATGGGGGCCCCCTGCTTCGCCCGGGGCCCCTGGAGGCTCCCCTGGGGGCACCCCTTGCGGGGCCTCTGAGGGGTCCGCTGAGGGCCCCCCCGGGGGCCCCGTCGCGGGGGTTGGGGAGCCCCCTGGGGCCCCCCGGGGAGCTACCCACTGCCGCCACCGGTAACGAGCAAGCGCAAGGGTCTCCCGGAGAGTCAGAGAGGGGAACGGGGGGCCCCCAGGAGGCCCCCAGGGGGCCCCCGGGGGGCCCCTCAGCGTGGGCTCGAAATGGACAATGAAACCCTTTAATAGGGTACGAGGGAGACCCGCAAGGGCCCCCAGCCAGCCAGGCCCAGGGGGGCCCCCCATCCTCGTAGCCAAAGTCCAGCGGGGACAGGGGCCCCCCGAAGCCTCAGCAATGAGGGGCCCCTCAGCCACTCAAAAGACCCAAAATAAGTCCCTTTAAATGTAAAATTATATGTTATTTCTAAACACTAAATGCTGCAGCTTGTTCTAGGGTTTAGGGTTTGAGTTTAGACCCCAGTGCCCGCTGCTAGCTGCAGCAGCGCCTGGAGGGGGCCCCCAGGGCCCCGGGGGCCCCGGGGGCCCCCGGTACCCTAAGCTAGACTCCTTCTGGGCTATGCAGGAGGGGCCCCTAGGGTTTAAACAAAACTTCGCAACTCAGGACTCAAGCCTTTGCACTAAACCCTAAACCCTAAACCCTAAACCCTAGCCCTTACCGGGCGCAGCTGACCGCTGGGGGCTCCTCCAGGGCCGCTGGTGTCTTGCTGCAGCAGCTGGAAGGCCCCCCCTAGGGGCCCCCAGCAAATGCAGTGGGGGGCCCCCTGCCTGCCCAGCAGGCCTGGGGGCCCCCCTTTCCTGGGGCCTTTGCATGCAACCGTAGACCCCACAGGGGGGCCCCCCGGGGGGCCCTCAGAAGACACTCTCGAGGGGCAGGAGTGGGCCCCCGTGCTGCCGCGGCTGCAGCAGCAGCTGCTGCTGCAGCAGC